TGCCATTTAAACAATTGTGTCTTTAAAGAGATCTGAGAGAACATAACAAAACTGCCCCATAGGGTTTCCAAGACAATAAGCTGCCACCTCTTTCTCCTGAGGACCATCTGTGGGTTCAATCACCAACCTTTCAGTTTGAAGCTAAACACTTAACCACTGTGCCCCCAGAGCTGGCTGGCTGGCATGTAGTCACTCTATATTACATGTCTGTGGAACTCTCCACATGACACTTGCTCTTGTGTCATGTGGAGCAAGTGTCATGTGACAATGTAACATCAAAGAGCAAAGCTTTTAACTATCTAAAATAGTATTTGCCTAAAGCAGGCACTAAAAGAATATTTATTGAATGAAGGAATGAACCAGATAGAACTAGATTTGCTGTGTCTTGAACCAATGATCTTTACAAAGAACCTGAGTTTGGAAGTCCTGAGTCCATCATTCTATTTCCTGCTAGAATCTTGCTATTATGGGTTGAATTGTATCTACTTGTAGTCAAAGTCTGCAAAGCCATTTGAACTGCAAGATCGGCGGTTCAAGCTCATTAGCTACTCCTCATATACCCTATACAGGGTCGCTGTGGGTCGGAGCGACTTGATGGCACTTAACAACAACAACAACAGTAGTCCTGGTGTGGCAATTTGGGTTATTGCTCTGGACTGCAAAGTTGGTTTGCACCACAAGGTGGGTGACTCAAACTTACCACTCACTCCTTGGAAACCCTACACAGGCTCACTGTGGGTCAGAAATGGCTCAGCAGCATTTAACAGTAGAGGCTTTTAATAGGCTCTGGTAGTGTAGTGATTACGAGTTGGGCTGCTAACCTCAAGGTCAGCAGTTCAAAACTACCAGTCGTTCCTTGGAAGAAAGATGAGGATTTTCTGCTCTGTTAAAGATTTGCAGTCTCAGAAGCCCTATGCAGGGTCACTATGAGTCAGAACCGACTCCATGGCATGCCACCACCTCCCCACCACCATAGTACCATTTGGGCTCCTGATGTGGCTCTGTAGGATCAGCACTGGACTGCTGTTCAAACCCACCAGCTGCTCCTGTGAGTTGAAACCAAAGGCACTTAACAACAAAATAGTCCCTTTTGGAAATGGGTTTTCTTTGTTATGTTAATGACACCAATTAAACCAATCTCTTCTGAGATATAAAAGAGCAGTATGTACGCAAGCATAAATGGGGAAAGATAGATACCAGGCCACATAAACGTTCACCAAGGAAACAATGAACAGTAGCTTAAAGGGGGCAAGATGTTTCCCTAAAGTCTTTTCCTAAAGCCAGTGTGGTGAATTCATCTGTCTGCGAACCACAAGGTCAGCAGTTTGAAACTACCAGCTGTTCCATGAAAGAAAGATGGGGCTTTCTGCTCCCGTAATGATTTACAGCCTCAGAAACCCTGTACAGGGTCGCTATGAGTCGAAACCAACTCCACGGCACACAGCTACCAGCACCACCAAACTGTAAGAGGACTTCTGGTGTGGTGCTGTGGGTTAATGTGCTGGACTGCAGTAGGTTTGAACTGCAAGGTCGATGGTTCAAGTTTACCAGTTGCTACTCAGAAACCCTATACAGGGTAATTGTGGATCAGAACCGACTCGACAGCACTTATCAACAACAAAAACAAACTGCAAGAAGGCGTTATTGTGACGCTGCGGGTTATTGTGCTGGACTGCAAGTTCAGCTAGAACTGCAAGCTCACCAGCTGCTCCTCAGCAACCCTGTACAGGATTGCTATGACTCACAACTGACTCGACCACACTTAACAACAAAACTGTAAGAAAATAAGTTTCGATTTGTTCAAACTACCCCCTTGTGGTAATTCTGTTATAGCAGCACCAAACGACTAAGGTACTTGCCTAATCAAGACTTTAGAGACTAAAATCCACCGATCAATAGCTTTGTAGCTCATGCGGCTATAGACAGGGAAGAGCAAAATGAAAACCATCATCATCATCCTTGGTGGTGGTTGTTGTGTGCCGTGGAGTCGGAACTGACTCATAGTGACCCTGTACAGGGTTTTCGAGGCTGTAAATCTTTATGGGAGCAGAAAGCCTCATCTTTCTCCCGTGGAGCAGCTGGTAGTTTCGAACTGCTAACCTTGTGGTTCGCAACCCGATTCATAACCAGTACGCTACCAGAGCTCCTTCCATCATCATCCTTAAATTACTGTAAACATATGAACCTCTGAGGTGTGTACATCTGTTAACCTCATTTGAACTCTACAATCAGTAGAAATGAACTTTTTTTTTTTTTTTTTTTTTTTAATAATGGGGAGTGCTCTGGCTCTGTAGAATAAGCACTAGACTGCTAACTACAAGGTTAACAGTTTGAATCCACCAGCTGCTCTGAGGAAGAAAAATGAAGCCTTTTATTTACACAAAGATTTACAGCTTCAGAAATCCTATACAGGGTCGCTATGAGCCAGAACTGACTGGACGGAATTTAACAGCAACACATTTTATTATGACGAAAATAAGTCTTGGAGAAACGAAGTGCATTGGCTAAGGCATATAACTAGAAAGTGGTTAAGCTGAGCTGATCGTCATACTCAGATCAGCAGATCCCATGCTTAATGTTGGCTTTCACCACATCAGAGCAGGTGAACGAACTTGTCAGGTGAGAGAAGGAGAGCGAGCCAGTCCTTGGCAATTTCTGGGACATGCTACAATGTGCATACTGGGCATGTGTTTGTATGTGTGTGTGAGAGAAAGAGAGGATAAGAAGGAGGATAAGAAGGCTAAGGGGAGGGAGGTAGAAAGAGAAGAATGGAGTAAAGAGCAAGAAGGGAGAGGGAGGAAAGATTAAAGAAGAGTGAGATTGCAGACACCTGCATCATGCTTCGTACTCACATTCCTTCCCATTCTAAACCTTCAGAGAGCAGGTGTGAGTCGTCTGTAAACAGTGAAGACGGGTCACCCAACATTCCCTCCACTGGCTAAGTCAGAAGTCGGTCTGTTTACATTAACTTAAAGCCAGTCAGGTGATCAGGAGATGATGACGACTCACAACTTTTTCAGATGGTTCCCATGAAATATCCTCACACTCTCTACCCCTATGCCCGCCCCTCTACCTTCTGTAAAAGTCAGAGGTAGCAGAAAGAATTCATAAACAAAATTAAATCTAGTAGAAAAAAGTGAAAGCAGTTGGAAGAGCCATGGCCTGGAGGCAAAACCCTAATCCTGCCTACCGATATCACTGACTCAATGTCTCATCCTGACTTGAGTTTTCCTTGTTTCCCTATTTATGCTGCTCCCATTTTCATATACTGAACTTGAACTGAATTTCCCTTGGTGAGTTGAATATACAAGGAAATCATCTAGGCTCTTATCATTAGTTTTTTGTGTTATGGGCCTCCTCTGCTCTCGAAAAGATTTACAGCCTCAGAAATCCTGTATAGAGACGCTATGAGTCGAAACCGACTCCACGGCACATAACCACCACCACTATATGTCAGGGAGTCCTAGTATCGTGCTGTGGGTTAATGCGCTGGACTGAATAGTTGACTCGAACTACAAGGTTGGAGGGTCAAGCTCACCAGTCACTCCTTGGAAACCCTACACAGGGTTGCTATGTGCCAGAACTGACTCAACGGCACTTAACAACAAATATGTCAGGGAGTCGTGGGGCAGTGCTGTAGGATAATCACTGAACTGCTAACCAGGAGGTCAGCTGTTCAAACCTAGCAGCCACTCCTCGGAAACTCTATGCAATAACGTATGTCAGGCTCTGTGACATAAATCCTTTTACCATTTGACAACTTATTTTTTATGGTAAGGCTTTGCTAAAGGAAAGATGGAGTTTACCTATGTTATTTGCCCAGACGATAAGCAGTAGAGTCTGAATTTGAAATAAATCTGTCTAGGGTTTACCGTAGTGGTTATGAATCGGGCTGTGACCCTCAGGGCCAGCAGTTCATAACTACCAGCTGTTCTGGTGGAGAAAGTTGAGGCTTTCTGTTCCTGTAAAGATTTACAGCCTCAGAAACCCTGTACAGGGTTGCTGTGAGTCGGAACCAACTCCACGGCACACAACAACAACAACAACAGGGTTTGTCCATGGCGACAGTAGTGAGGCTGGCCCAGGATCGGGCAGTGTTTCGTTCTCCTGTGCATAGGGTCGCTATGAGTCAGTACCAACTCAATGGCACCTAACAACAACAACAACAAGGGTGTATTCTCTCTTCCTCTCCACATTGTTAAGTGCAACACCCAAGATATAAATAAAGAGTTATGGCAACACCAAACTGTTGCCCACAGAGACTGCACCATTTTAGAGTCCCATCAACAGTATAGGAAGGTCTCAATGTCTGTACATCTTAACCAGTGTCTTGCTATTATCTATCTTTTTTTAATGAATGCTATCCAAGTGGATGTGAAAGGAACTCTGGTGTTAAGCATTAGACTGTTAACTGCATGGTCATTGGTCCAAATCTACCAATTGCTCCACAAAAAAAGATGAGGATGTCTGTTTCAGTAAAGATTTAGTCTTTGAAACCCTAAGAGGCAATTCCACTGTTTGATAGGATTGCCATGAGGTAGAATTAACTCAACAGCAGTGAGTTTGTTTGTTCATTTGTTTGCTGCTGTGGTGTTGGGCTATGCTTGAAAATCATAATTCCACCCTCTTTTGAGCTAGTACTTTAAGTTGGACCCACATTTTGAAGGATCTTGAATGCCATACGAGGGGGTTTGGAATTTATTTTTATTGGCTGTGAGAAGCCTTCAAAAGGTTCTATCAAGGAATCTGTCAATAATTGTTAATACTATTTCCTTTATAAATGTTCTATGTTGTAATAAAATTATACCAACTTGAAGTGCTTCAAAGGAGAAATGATTGTTTTCATTCTATCACATATAGGTGAGAGTGTTACTGGCTATTGCTGCATAATAAATAAGTGATCATGTTACAATAGAATTTCCTGCCCTTTCACATGTACACTGAAGTCAGCTAATCATGCTAGCTGTTTCCTGGAATAATGAAACATTTTGTTTTGTTTTATGCTTTAGGAAGGAATAAGAAACTTCAAGGAACTTCGAGCCAAATTTCAAAACACTCCAGATGCTCCCCTTCTTCCAGGACCTATTAAGTTCCCATCCAGTGTTTCTCAAAAAGGTTACATTACAAGAGCACAGTCAACCCAGATTTTGTCCAACGGAAAGCTCCTCTCATCCAACCAGAATCAACCCTCACAATATTGTTTCAGTGAGGATCCCCAGCCTCTTACACGTCAGAAAATGAAGCAGGCCCAGAACAGCAAATTTCAGAAATGTTCTAATTCTCCAGCACCTCTTGAAGGGTCTTCTGGGTCTACCATCAATTTACAGAAGGCCTCTCTGCTGTCAGAAATGGATCCGTCAAATGATGAGCTAACTGATAAGGAAAAAGTCGTAGTGACCTATAGCTTCAGAGACAAGCTTTGGAACTGGGAGAAGTTTTCATCTCAGAAAAGTGATATGTCATCAACCATCTTTCTTACTAATTGTGGAGGTAGGGCCTTCCATCTGGAAAAGCCAAAAACCATGGGGCATTCTCCAGAGAAGCCAAGGAAAGAGCTGGAGAGAAATGAACACCAGACTCTCCTTCCCCAGAGGCATTTGAGGGCCCAAAGAAAGTCACTTGGCTCCTATAAAGATTCCTCCTTTCTACTTTCACAACCTGACAGGAAAAGCCTAGAAAACCCCAGTCCTGAGAGAAGACCAGCAATGAGTGCCTCTCCACCAATCTATGAGTGTGAGCTTGCCAGCGAGGTTGCAGGTGAGAAATGCAATCGTCATGGGATGACTGGTAGAGGGTTTACTGTGTTTTTCTAATTTAAAACTTACTGACTCTGGGTGAAGTCACATATGTTACCTGAGCAATGCTAGCTCCAAATTCCAGTGCAGGTATTCTAGGTTCATCTGCTAAATTGTATTTTCAGGTGTGGGAAAAGTACTTCATCTTCTGGCATTACTTTGAGAGAATCAAAAGAGCATGGTCTTTGAGTGAGAGGAGGTAAAACTTGGATTTGAACCCTAGCTCCACTTACAGGTAGCATTAACTCAGACAATCACATAAATTTGCCTGTAAATCTGATACTTCTCTAATTGTCTCTGTCTTGGTAAATGGAACACTACCCTTCTAGTTGCTGAAGTCAAATACCTAGAATTCGTGTTCTTCTTATTCCACCCCTTTATTATTTGCATCCAATTCAATCCATCAGTTCTTGGCTCTACCACCAAAATATGTTCTGAATCTCTTCCATTGTGTCCTCTACCTTCTGTTCTTGTTCAAGCCACCAGCATCTCTCATCTGGACCTCTGCCACAGCCCTCTAGCTATTCTCCCTGCTTCCACTCTGTGTTATTGTTGTTAGGTGCCATCCAGTCAGTAACAACTCATAGCGACCCTATGCACAACAGAATGAAACCCTCCGAGTCCTGGGCCAACCTCACACTTGTTGCTACGTTTGAGCCCATTGATGCTGCCACTGTGCCAGTCCATCTCTTTGGGGGTCTTCTTCTTTTTCTCTGATCCTCCACATTACCAAACATGATACCCTTCTCCAGTGACTGGTCCCTCCTGAGAATATGTCCGAAGTATGAGAGACGAAGTCTGGCAATCCTGGCTTCCACGGAGCACTCTGGCTGTACTTCTTCCAATATATATCTATTTGTTCTTTTGGCAGACCATGGTACTTTCACTAATCCCCTTCAACACCGTAGCTAAAATGCATCAATTATTCTATGGTCTTCCTTATTCACTATCTAACGTTCTCATGCATATGAGGCTAATAAGAATACCATATCTTGTGTCAAAAGCACCTTAGTCCTCAAACTGACATCTTTGCTCTTTAGCATGTTGAAGAGGTCCTGTACAGCAGATTTGCTCAATGCAATATGTCATTTGATTTCTTGACTGCTGCTCCATGAGTGTTGATGGTTGATCTAAGCAAAATGAAGTCATTGACAACTTCATTCTCTATTTATATGGACATAATTTTTTGAGAGTCTTGGTGTGGCACTGTAGGTTAATGAGCCAAACGGCAAGGTTGGCAGTTCAAGCTCACCAGCTGCTCCTCAGAAACCTGATACAGAGTCGCTATTGGTTGGAACCGACTCGACGGCATTTAACAACAACAACAACAACAATTTATTGGTTCAGTGGTGAGGATTTTTGTTTTCATTACATTGAGGTGCAAACCATACTTCACATTGAGATGCAACCAAAATATTTATTGATGAAGATCAAAGGCTGTGGTCTTTGATCCTTATCAATAAGTATTTTATGTCCCCTTGGCTTTCAGCAAGCAAGGTATCATCTATATATCGAAGGTTGTTAATGAACCTTCCTCCAATCCTGATGCCACATTTTTCTTGGTATAATTCAGTTTCTCTGATTATTTGTTCAGCATAGAGATTGAATAAGTATGGTGAAAGAATACAACCCTGGCACACACCTTTACTAATTTTAAACCATTCAGTGTTCCCTTGTTCTGTTCAAACAACTGCCTCTTGGTCTATGTACAGGTTCCTCATGAGCACAATTAAATGCTCTGGCATACTCATACTTCACAAAGTTGTCCATGGCTTGTCATGGACTATACAATCGAAAGCCTTTACGTAGTCAATAAAGCACAAGTAAACATTTTTCTGGTATTCTCTGCTTTCAGCCAAAATCCATCTGACATCAGCAATGATATCCCTCGTTCCATGTCGTCTTCTGAAACCGGATTGAACCTCTGGAAGTTCTATGTCAATGTATGGTTGCGGCCATTTCTGTATTACGTCTAGTAATAACTTTATCTTGTGGGATATCAATGATACTGTCTGATGATTTCCACATTCCACATTCTGCATTCCATTGGATCTCCTCTCTTTGGAATGGACACACATACAGATCTCTTCCAGTCAATTGGTCAGGTAGCTGTCTTCCAAATTTCTTGGCATAGATGAGTGAGTGCCTCGAGTGCTGCATCACTTTGAGCCATTTCCAATCTTACCCCCTCATAATCCATTCTTTCTAGTATTCCTTCTAAAGTACATACCAGCTTGGATCACTCCCCTGCTCAAAGTCAATTCCAACTGTCTAACAAGTGATTTAGTCCTTGCCCACCTCTCTTATATTCCTCTCTCATTAACTTGGCCTTCTTGCTGTTCCCCAGATATGCCAAGCTGGCTCTACCCCAGGGTCTTTGCACTTCCCAATTCCTCTGCTGCACCATTCTTTCCACAGGTATTTGAGTGTCTCAACTGCTCACTTCATCTAGGTCTCTGCTCCAGTGTGTTGTGCTCTGAGCAACTTTTGTTGATTGTTCTGCCTAAATAGCTATACCACTTCTATTCCTATCTTCTTACATTGCTTTAGTCTTCTTCACAGCTTTGATCCCTATCTGTTATATTGTCATGTATCTTTGTATGCCTTTTATATGTGCTATGTATGCCTGTATGCCACTGTGCTTGCTTCTCCCTTTTTCAGTAATACTCTTCTTTGATCTTTGCATGGCTGACCAGCTTAGATCTAAATTCAGCTGGCACTTTCCTTGGTAAACCTTGTCTAACCTCCCTATCTAAAGAGCACTGTCTTACCATCACAAGTTCATACTCTTCCACATTGCTATGTTTTTATTTCCTCCCGAGCAGTAATCAATCTCTGTAACTATCTTGTTTATTTGTTTTATCACCAGTTTCTTCGTAATAGAGTTAAATTTTCTGAGGGGTGTACTGTATCTTTTCTTGTTTGCAGCATTATCTCCAACTCCTAGAACAATGCCTGGCACACAGCAGATACATATTTGTTGATGGAGGAATGAGAAGGAAGAAAGGGTGAAAGATGGGACATATGAAAAGATAGGAAAGAAAGAAGGTAGAATGGAACTTCTTTAACGGATGGAATTATTGGGCTCCTGGTGTAGTGCTGTCAGTTAGTGCACTGGACTGCAAAGGTGCTTTGAACTGCAAGATCGGTGGTTCAAGTCACCAGTCATTCCTTGGAAACTCTATACAGTTTCACTATGGATCAGAACCAACTCGACGGCATTTAACAACAATAATACTGAGAGGGTTAAATGAGATTTGATGTTGTTAGGTACCATCGAGACAGTGCCGGTTCATAGCAACCTTATGCACAGAAGAATAAAACACCGCCCGATCCTGGGCCAACCTCACTGTTGTTGCCATGCTTAAGCCCATTGATGCTGCCACTTTGCTAATCCATCTTGCTGGGGTCTTCCTCTTTTTCTCTGACCCTCCATCCTACCAAGCATGATATCCTTCTCCAGCGACTAGTCCCTCCTGACAATATGTCCAAAGTATGAGGGATGAAGTTTGACCATCTTGGCCTCCAAGGAGCACTCTGGCTGCACTTCTTCCAACACAGATCTGTTTGTTATTTTGGCAGTCCGTGGTACTTTCAGTATTCTCCTCCAACACCATAACTCAAAAGCATCAATTCTTCTACAGGCTTCCTTATTCACTGTCCAGCTTTCACATGCATATGAGGTTATTGAAAATACCATGGCTTAGGTGAGGCACACCTTAGTCCTCAAGCTGACATCTTTGCCCTTCAACACTTTAAAAAGGTCCTGTGCAGCAGATTTGCCTAATGCAATATATCTTTTGATTTCTTGACGGCTGCTTCCATGAGTGTTGATTGTTGATCCAAGAAGAATAAAGTCCTTGACAACTTCAATCTTTTCTCCATTGATAAGAATGTTGTTTATTGGTCCAGTGGTGAGGATTTTTGTTTTCTTTATATTGAGATGTAATCCATACCGAAGGCTGTGCTCTTTGATCTTCATCACTAAATATTTTAAGTCCTCTTCACTTTCAGCAGACAACGCTGTATCATCTGCATATCACAAGTTGTTAATGAGTCTTCCTCCAATCCTGATGCCACGTTTTCCTTCATATATCCCAGCTTCTCGGATTATTTACTCAGCATACAGGTTGAATAAGTATGGTGAAAGAATACAACCCTGTCACACAACTTTCTTCATTTTAAACCATTCAGTGTCCCCATGTTCTGTTTGAACAACTGCCTCTTGGTCCATGTAGCTTCTTCATGAGCACAACTAAGTGTTCTGTAATATTAATACTTCGCAATGTCATGATCCACACAACTGAAAGCCTTTGAGTCATCAATAAAGAACAGGTAAATATCTTTCTGATATTTTCTGCTTTCAGCCAAGATCCATCGGACATCAGCAGCGATATCCCTCGTCCCACAGCCTCTTCTGAATCCAGCTTGAACCTCTGGAAGTTCTCTGTCAATGTATGATTGTAGCCATTTCTCTATTACCTTAGCAAAACTTTACTCGCATGGGATATCAAAGAGATTGTCCGATGATTTCTGCATTCCATTGGGTAACCTCTCTTTGGAATGGACACAAATATGGATCTCTTCCAATCAGTTGGCCAGATAGTTGTCTTCCAAATTTCTTGGTAGAGATGAGTGAGTGCCTCCTGTGCCGCCTCACTTTCTTGTGATTTCTATTTTTATTCCATCAATCCCTGGTGCCTTGTTCTTTGCCAATTCTTTCAATGCACCTTGGACTTCCTCCAGTCTCATTGGCTCTTGATCATATGTTACCTCTTGAAATGGTTGAACACCAATCATTTCCTTTTGGTACAGTAACTCTGTGTATTGTTTCCATCTTCTTTTGATGCTTTCTGCATCATTCAGTAATTTTCCCAAAGAATCCTTCAATAATGGAATTCAAGGCTTGAATTTTTTCTGCAGTACCCCAGCTTGAGAAATGCAGAGTGTGTTCTTCCTTTTTGGTTTTCTGACTCCAGGTATGTCTTGTAAAATGATTAGCACAGTGCCTGGTGAAAATTAGGGACTCAAATAGTAAGTAGAAATTCAATTTTATTGCATCTCCTCCTTAATTGTATAAAGACTGACATTGTAGACAGCTTAGTGGGGTTGTCCCTGACTGTGGGGGACATAATCACCTGCTAGTAGATCAGGAAGGGAACTTCCCATCTCCACTTCGATTATAGAAGACAGCAGAGCTAGGCAGAAGCCACCCAAACTTATTTTAGTTTCAATTTTAGCATGGATGACCCATGCAGCCAACCATTAAATTATGTAAATAAAAAACCAAGACTCTTTCATTATTGATGATTTTTGTGTTATTTACAATGTAAGAGGCAGAAATGATCTTTGTATGTGATGTTAGGATCTCTATTGGAGTTTGGTTTATATATGCTGAAGGGAAAATTCTAGAAAATTCCAGTATACACATAAATCAAATGTCTCTAAATGCCATAAAAATTACCTAGAGTGAGCCTTCAAAATCAAACCACAAGGTCAGCAGTTCAAACCTACCAGCTGCTCCCTGGAAATCCTATACAGAGTCACTATAAGTCAGAACATATTGGACATTGCTTAACAACAATGAAAATACAGAAGAGGGAGTGGGTAATTCTGGACTTGATTTCTGATAGGAATCAAGAGAAGCTTCCTAGAGGAGGTATCATTAGAGTTGAGCTTTAAAATTTTTTCCAGCAGACAAGTGAGGATGGAATAGACCATTTCAGAACCAGGAGTAGCATGAACCTAATCTTGAATATCTGAGAGCTTTTTAAAAATATTAATTCTATTTTCACTGTTGCTGTTAAATTGAATTAAATGTGCATCACTGCCAGAGGTTTGAGTGAGAGATGTTTAGACATAAGGTTGGGGAAGTAGGATGGTAAATATGGTGAGAAAATAAATTGGGTCCTAGGTTGGACAGGACAGTGCTTAAAGGCTAGAGAATGGGGTGAATGGGTATCATGTTGAGGGTAGCCGGGTGGTGGCATGATTGGATTTGCATTTGGATCTTGTCACTCTGACTGCAAGATGGAGAAGAGATTGGAAGGGAATGAGGCTGAGGCAAGGAAACCAGTCATGAACTAGAAATAATAACAACCTGACAATTGATGAAATGGAAATGATAATAACCTACATCTCCTATTGTCTTGCTCAGAAAAACAACAGAGTAACAGGAATCACCAGCTTCCCCAAACAAAGCCACTGCCTTCTGTTGTGTCCCTGGGTCCTCCGCCCCCTAAACCCCCAAAGCCCCCGGCTGTGAACCTCCAGGCCTTCCAGAGGCAGGCTACTGCTCTTTCCAAGATGCAAAGGGAAGGTAAGGAATTGTGCAGGACCCTGCACATAGCCAGGCAGAAGTCCTGGTGTATCAGCCCCCAGCTGACGATGCACCTCCTGCGTTTCCATGGGGCTGAACATCTATCACTGCTTGTTCTCCTTTGGAGACCATGGCAGCTTGCCCAGGAAATGACAAATCTGTAGGAACTGGCCCCTTATCACTCCTAGGCCAGCGTGCTTCCCCTGAGAGCAATGCATTTGATCACTGGGCATCTGTCCAAAATGAAGAAAGTGAAAAGTCACCAAACAAGGAGGCAGTGGACCTTGGTGTTTTCTGCAAAGCCTGTATTGTCAACACAGCCAGTGCAAAAGGGGGAGGAAGCAGAAAGGAAGGAGAATTAGTGTGAACTTGACCTGAGATCACTATCTAGGTGCTCCAAGGTCAATGTGATCTGTCTTCAGAATTAAATGGAGGGAAACTCAGCTCGTACTGGTCCTTTCCAAGAACTGAACCATGCTTAGAGGTCATTTTTCTGAGGCATGTTGCGTTTTCCTCTATTACTACCGGCACCACAGTCTGATTCTGTTTGCATTGTCAATCCCTTTGTTTATGTTCACTCTCACTCTAATGAGACATGAGGGAAACATGGGCTTTGAGGTGACACTTTATGCTGTGCTAGCACTGGTTTTGCTGTGGCCATGAGTGCCAGCAGATGGTACCCTGAGAGAACTACTGCAGTCTTTGATTGCACATCTGACTGCTTGGGGCAACCTCATGGTTAACATTTCTATTAACTCAGTGATTCTAAAACTTTAACCCTCATCAGAATCACCTAGAGAACTTGTTAACACATAGATTGCTGACCCTAAACCCATTGTTTCTGATTGTTAGTCTTTATTAGGGTTCTGGAGACTCTGACTTTATGGCAAGTTCTCAGGAGTCCCTAGGTGGCAGAAATGGTTATGCATTTGGATACTGACTCAAAAGTTGGAGGTTTGAATCTATCCAGATGTACCTCAGAAGAAAGTCCTAGTGATATATTTCTGAAAGCTCACAGCCACTGATCACAGTTCTATGGAGTACAGTTCTACTCTGAAACTCATGGGGTCACCATGAGTAGGAACTGGCTTGAAGGACTTTCTTACTGGTGGCAAGTTCCTAGGGGGTACTGATATTGCTGGTCCAGGCACCATACTTGGAGAACTTCTGCTATAAGTAATTTTTAATCTTATAGAAAAGTAGAGTTTTGTCGCTATACTTTAGTAATATGGCCACCTCCAGATCAAAGTATGATTTTTCATAAATTTTAAATAATTCAGGGCTCAAAGTACCGCTCTGAAAGAGAGCAGGATGGTCCTCATAGAGGAAAGCACTAAGTCACTGGTAATGAAATGGGCTTTGTAATCCCAATTGCCCCTTCACTAGCTATTTAAGTTTGGGTAGGTTTTCACTGCATGCCATTTTTCTTATCTCCAATATGGCAATAATAACTATGCTGCTGATCTTCTAGAATTATTGTTGTGAGGACTGAATAAGATACCACATAGAAAGTATTTAAATAGTTCTTGGTACATAAGCCCTCCATGAACGTTCGATATTATCACTAACGTAATCACACACTGAGACCAACACTGTGATGGAAGCAAGATATCAAGAGACAAATCCTATTGAGGTTCTGGTCCTCATAGAGGTAAAAGCATAATGTAAGAGATTGTACCCATGAATTAACACCATGTAGCATGGATGAAGGCGTGCCTGGGTGGCACAAATGGTGACGTTCAACCTAAAGGTTGGCAGCTTGAACCCATTTAACAGCACTGAAGAAAAAAGATTCATCCATCTGTTCTGTAAAAAGTACAGTCACGTATGACTTTTATACATCATATTGCCATGGGTCCAAAAGTTTATAGCCACATAAAACCCTGTGGAACAGTTCTGCTATGACACACATGAGGTGGGATTGACTTTACAACAATGGGTTTGGGGTCTTTGTTTTGTTTTGTTTTGCGTGAGGAAGAGGGCTGCATTGCAGATCCCCAGTACAGTCTCATTGGGAGAGAGGAGAATGGGGGAGGAGATTTGTGGTACAGGTGAGCTGCCACTCTCTACTTTGTCTCTGGGGTCAGGTCATTGCAAAAACATAATTCACCTTACCTGGCTGCTGCTGATTCTTCCTTTTCACTCTGCCTCTTGCTCTTGCAGCTGCTGTGGAAGACAGCTACCTGCCTCCAGAGAGGTAAGTACATGCCTCTGAATTGTGCAGAAGTCTAGTTTATGAAAAGGCTACTTAGCCTGTCCAAAAGCAGGCAATAAATGCAAGCCGAGAATCTCTGTTTCTCAGAAGGATTGAAAGAAGAGCAGATTTATATGCAAGCAACTGCAACTTTTGTTTTAAATGGAAGATTAAATAAACCATATTTAACTACCATGCTAAGGTTAAGTTGCAAAGCTACTCCTCTGAGGGAGTCCTATTTATTATCCAGTTGGGTTCAGTAAATTGAAACATCAGCTTCCATAGTTAGAAATCAAATTAGCGGTTAAAGGATTCTCTGGGAAGCTGGTGTGGTATCAGGAATTGATCAAGGAATAAAGGGCCTTATTTTTTGCAGTACTCTTTCTAAGAATTTTGCCATAGGATAGCAGTTCCTCAATTCATTCAGCTAAATAATATGCATTGAGCCCTTTGACCTGTCATTCATTGTACTAGCAACTTTATACAGATTTCCTTATTTCATTTTCTCAAGAAGCTTGCAAAGTTGCTGCTACTCTCTTCATTTTATAGTTAAGAAATTGAACTCTGGTTATATGCCCTTTGTAGAGCCGTGATTTAAACCCAGGAACACCCTAACTATACCACCTCACTTCCCTCACAAATATTTTCCTCTTCCCACAAAATTCAGTCTTAGAAGCAAGACCAAACAGTTCAAACCCATTACTTAATAATTCAACAAATATTTGTCAAAAAATGTTTGTGATGGTAGAGTGTGTTAACCCTTTCAAGATCCATGGGTCATGTATCATCCACCAATATTTCCAGCCTCTTAGGTTTCTTAGGAACCTGATATCTAGTTGTAGTGTGTGCTACTGATTGGTGGGGAACTATAGAACTGTGTGAATCTGAAGATATGGGCCTCATCCCACCAATCCTACCACCAGAGTCCACTTGGGGCATATATGTCCCATATAATTATACCAAAAGCAATACTATTTCAGTGTTTCCCTTAATTGCAGCATGCATTTCATTACTTACTGAGCCCTGGCGGCATTATGGGCCAGTAGCCACAAGGTTGGCAGTTCAAACCCACTAATCACTCTGTATGAGAAAAATGAGGCTGTCTGCTCTCCTAATGAGTTACAGTCTTAGAAACTCTAAGGAGAAGCTCTACTGCGTCCTATGGGGTTACTGTAAGTCATAATCATCTTGATGGCAGTAGATGTGGGGTTTCATTATTGAAAACATATGGCATTGGTGGTAGGTCAGCTCCTATTGATTCATAGTGACCCTGTGTGGGGTTTCTGAGACTGTAAATCCTGATGGGAGCAGAAAGACTCATCTTTCTCCTATGAAGCAGCTGGTGGGTTTGAACTGCCAACCTTGTGATTAGCAGTCCAATGCTTATCCTACAGCACCATCAGTGCTCCTTGAAAACACATTATATCAACAAAAAAAATTCAAAGCAGAAAAGAATTCGGTCATGAAAGTGTTAAGTTTTGTAGTAGAGGAAGGTACAAGATTCAGAGATTGTACAAATGTGGGAGTGGTCACTTTTGGATGGGAAAGGAAGTGTTATAGTAGTTGTATCAGTTACCTATTACTAGAGTGATATTATATAACAAGCCACAGCAAAACTTCAATGGCATTCAACAATAGATATTTCACTCATGAGCCTATAAATTCAACTAATCTGAGTAGGACTCAGCTGAGCACGTTCATGTGCTTACCATCCATTATGGAGTATCTAAACAGTTTTGCAGATATTAGCTGGGGTCTGCTTGAAGTTAGTTTATCTATATTGGCTGGAATGACTGGGTCAACTTACTTGAATTATGTGTCTCTTACTCTCCAACAAGCTAACCTAGGAATGTTCTCCCCAGAGTTGCAGAAGACAAGCAAGACAAGCCCAATTTCATGAGCATTTTTCAAGCCCCTGTTTGTGTCATATGCTACCATGTATTACATTGATCAAAGCAAGTCACATGGCCAAGCTCAGAGTCAAATTAATAGGACACTGAAAATATTCATGGCATAGGACAGGGACCCAGGAAGGGGTAAAGCGTAGGGGCATTGATACGCTATTTCACTTTCTCAAATATGTCAGTGAAGAGGAAACATCTGAAATGGGTAATGATTTAATGGATATGGAACCCATTGGTAATGGCAAGCGGTATGAGATACTATGTCATATTTATGTAAATTAGAAATAGTAGGGTTATAGTATAGAAAGGAGCGGAGTGAAATGGAGTTGTAAAGGTTGACCCTCCTACTCTAAGCTCCCAAACCAACTTTACAGCACTTAACAACAACAACAACCCTACGCTCCCAATTATCTGTCCAAGATCTACTCTTTAGTACAAAAGACATTACTTCTACCCTTTATTTGCATGACAGTTCTTAAAACATTGAATGACTACATTCTTCTCTAAACTAAAACTCTTAACTGTTTTCAGCCATTGTTTATCAATAACACCAACAAAAAGTTTTAGGTTTTAGCTGCATTTCTATTCTTATCATCTTATTAAGAACTCAGTAAATCTCCAACAGCCATCATTCGTTTCTGGCTCCCTTCCTATTGTATATTGCATGTAAGAACAAGAATTATAGAAGTAGAGAGAAAAAACAAGATGGTGGATAGGGTAGAAGTGCAGTGAGGAGCTTCAGCCACAACAACATAGAATACTGGACCAAGAAGGCTCAGGGGATGGTCCCAGAACTCTGAACCACAGATAAAGGAATATTTACAAAATTAGAAGGCTTACAGCCAGTAGAATTTACAGCAGAAGCAAGAAACCCTGTGCTTTCTAATCCAAGGCGCTCAGCTGCTACCTGAGCAGCCATCTTGGGTGAGACTGAGTTGGGGAAGGATCAGAGCAGTCATGGACACCTGACAGAACCGTAGAGATAAAGGTGTGGACATTCTTTTTTGTATCTGTTTATTGGCCTCTCACTGTCTGTGTACCTCCATTCTGGTGATTAGAGGGGGTGCCTGAGCAAGTGAACACCCCAGTCTGACCCTCGTTGTGTTCTATTATGCATGCACACAGAACTCCTCAAAATATAAAGGGACAGCTTCCACTTAAAGCCAAGTGGCAGCAAAAAACAGCCACGGCCGGCCCTGAACTGTTTATCACTAGGAAAAAGGCCTAAACAGGGGTTGTGGAACAGGACAGGTAGACTAAAAAGGAAACAAACCAAAAATAAAATCCTGAGTTATGTCATAACGACCAACAGTGGCATCTTGAAATTTCTCAGGAAGAAGAGTGAAAAGGGAAGCCCATCTCATGATCACATCTACATGGAGACAATCAGAAAGCATAGAAAATGCCAAAACACACACCCATCTAAGTATTAAGGTCATAGCTAACCACTAAATATGCACAAGAAAAACAGAAACAGAAAACCATATCAGCACATGTCCAGAAACAAGATAAAGTGACTGAGACAAATGAGTTGGAGGTACACCTATATTCCATACTGGAAGGAGGGCAGGCTTTGGAAGTACCTGAGAAGGAATTAAGAAAAATGATTATAAAATGTATCAAAACACTTTACAATGGAGCTGAGAAAAATAAGGAAGAAGTCAGGAAAGTGCTACAGGCACAATCAGATAAGATAGATACAACATTGGAAACAATTCAAAACCTACAGAAAGAGGTCCAAACAATTAATAATAGAATATTAGAAATGGACAATACACTGAAAAGGCAAAGGAGTAGAATTGAAGAGATGGAAGTCAGAACTAGTGAGCTGGAAGATAAATCTCTCAATATCACTAAGACAGAAGAACAAGCAGAAAAAAGAATTTAAAAATATGAGGAAGTCCTAAGATTCATGTTGGACAACATGAAGAGGAGTAACTTAAGAACTATTGACATTCTGGAACAGGAAGAATCACACAAGTCCACAGAAGAGATAGTTGAAGAGCTTCTGGTAGAAAATTTCCCTAACATCCTGAAAAGCAAAAAGATAAGCATTCAAGAAGCTCAACGAACCCCAGGAAGGAAAGACCCTAAAAGACAATCACCAAGACATATAATCATGCTCTCCAAAATCAAAGATAAGGACAGAATCCTGAAGGCAGCTAGGGAAAAAAGAAGTGTAACATACAAAGGAAAGCAAATCAGATTAAGTTATGATTTCTCAATAGAAACCATGCAGGCAATGAGAGAAATATATAAAACCCTGAAAGAAAAAAAACTGCCAACCAAGAATCCTCTACCCAGCAATGCTGTCAATCAAATACAATGGCGTAATCAAAACATTCCAGGATAAACAGAAGCTAAGGGATTTTTCCAAAGCCAACCCTGTGATGAAAAACATCCTAAAGGGAGTTCTGTGGACAGAGAACTAACAGGAACAGACAACAACCAGAGATTGACGTACATGGCAGCATCACCCGGAAGTCAATCAACAAATGGAAGAGTTGAGAACAGAATAAAACTATAAGAACAAATTCAGAGGCTCTGGGAGGTCAGTCTATGATCAACACAATTACAGTGTGAAAGAAGGTAAACACAGAGTAACAGAGATCTAGGTGGTGGGAAGGTCAGATAGACTACAGAATAAAATAGACTGTCTTAAATGAAGGTAAAAGTTAATGGAATATAAGGTAACCACATGATGGGGTTGGGGTGGGGATTTCAGTGGAGGTGGAGGGAGATGACGATAGAGCACAGGGTAAGGGCAGACACATCATGTTTTGGGTGTTGAGGAGGGCAATACAAGAAGGGTGAGGAAATAGAAGAACAAGGTAGATTGGGGAACACTGAGACAGGTTTGCATGGGCTAAGTGGGACAGAGGTAAGTAGTGATGCATGCTTAACCTTGGAACAGCAGGGATCTGAGATACAGGGATCTAGGCATAGTTTGAAGAGGGGAAATAATACTAAGATGCTTGAATGTCTTATGAATATTGTTTTCCCTTGTCTACTATTGTAATATAGACACTTGAGTGGGATAGAAAGGAATATTGGGAAACATGATTACAGAATATTTGTAAGCCCATTTTCAGCCTCTAA